AACACTGAAAATTAATCCCATGCTGTCTAATAATTCTACCGTTTGGAGGCATGTATAAAGTAAAGAGAATTGGTCCTAGCACTGATCCCTGTGGTACTCCACAGGTAACCCTGGAGCATGTGGAAGATTTATCATTAACGTGAACAAACTGAATTCGATCAGATAGATAAGATTTAAACCAGTCTAGTGCTGTTCCTTTAATGCCAACAAAATATTCAAGTCTTTCTAAAAGAATATTATGGTCAACTGTATCAAATGCAGCACTAAGATCCAACAGGACGAGCACAGATACAAGTCCATTATCTGAGGCCATGAGAATATCATTAGTGACTTTCACCAGAGCTGTTTCAGTGCTATGATGAGCTCTAAAACCAGACTGAAACTCTTCAAAAAGTTCATTATGGTGTAAGTGATCGCAAACTTGTTTGGCAACTACTTTCTCAAGAATTTTAGATAAGAAAAGAAGATTGGATATAGGTCTATAATTGACCAAGTCATCTGGGTCAAGAGACGGTTTCTTAAGCAAAGGTTTAATCACAACAACCTTAAAAGCGTTTGGTACATATCCCTGTAACAGAGATAGATTAATCACATCTAAAATGGAGGAGGAGATAAAGAAACTGAAACGTTATTTTGCCCGTCAAGGGACTCCAGATGAGTTGATCTAAAAAAAATGGCCCACAATATGTGTATCAAGAATTTAAAAAGTTAGCAGACTGTGGGGATTTTAAGTCCTCATCTGCAGGTTGCACTCAGAGTAATGGCAAAGCGGAATCGCCCATTAAGACATCAAAATGACTTCTTCTCAGAGCCAAAGCTGCTGGACAGGACTAACCTGACAGGACCATCACTCACCGTTGCAGGGCCTAGACACCACTCCAACACAAGGACTGCTCAGTCTGCACATTAAATCATTGTTAGCAACTTGCAGGTTCCTTGAGTCAAGCAGGAGCCCATGAACAGGCAGGTGCACCAAAGAAACTACAATAATAGATCAGCCAAAGATTTACCACCTCTCAAAATTAGGTATGGTGTGAGTATACAGCCATGCTGGATACAGCTCAGACTGTCTGGAGATGTGACCGTTTGATTTTGTATCTTGGAAAAATGTATTATCATGAGCAATGGCGTAACGACACAACAATAGGCCCGTTAGCAACTTTATCTGGGTTGACCCCATATGAAGTACAACACCTGATAAAGGTTAAGGATAAGGCAACAGTACCATAAATCGGCCAAGAAGATACAATTATGCAATTCTCAGTAGTATATGATCACACACATCACACACTGAAAAATAGTGACTGCGCACCTTGAATGGAAACATTGATGACAGCGCACCACCACATGTTACAGACATCCCAAGTGATTATCACCCCCCCAAAAAAAGAAATCACAATCTTGACTCACTGTAGCAGCAACGTCCACCTCTCCCTCTTCGGTTTTTTGAAAGAATGTTCTTCCAGTAGCTCTTCTTTGCTTTTTCTTTTCTGGAATCCGCTTAAGTACCTTTTTTTGGTATCGATCGTCACTAACACTTTGTATGTAACGGTTTTAATCTATGCTACGGGTTACCCATGATTCCAAGTCATAGTGTAAAAAATAAAATACTCGAATACATTGTTCTTTTAAGATCTTTATTGCTGTTTCAAACACATTATATGAGTGTATTTTTACCAACCATCTAATGAACTATACACAGTTATTAACATAGTAATTAAAAGTACCACTGTCTGTTTTGCTATTGGTGTTGTGTTTACACTGCTCACCATCATGTTGAAATCTGCCATGTGTTGCGGTATAAATACGGTCAGTCACTTCAGTATCAGGTGGGTTTAAGAGGAATTTTCGCACCATTACATCTGCAAAGTGACGTCCTAGTCGACAACTGCGTTGGGGACGCACCAGGTGTCAGTGATGGGGCCGTTAAGAGCTTGTGGGCCCGTAAGCAAATGCTGTCTCTGCTTACCGATATTTATAATCTGGAGAAATCGCAGACCCCTGAGACTTGCTACTGTACGGACTGTCAGCCAGCCAGAGTTTAAAGGACAAGGACAATCAGGGTTGGCTCAGTCCCCACATCGTGTTTTGGATCCCACTCGAAGAGACATGACTGAAGGACGACCTCTTGTCACGACCAGAGCAGGTCGCGCAGTGAAGTTGCCAGAACACTATAAGGACTATGTACTCTCACACAGTGGAAGTTTCCGTGTTTTTCATGGCCTTCGGGTTGGTGTTATTTATTTTTTAAAGTTATAGTGAAACCGAATCTGACTGTATTTTCAAAATCCTGTTTGGATTATTTCCTTTTGTTGAGATTTGAAACTGTAAATGATACTCTGCGGTGCATCCTTATGGTAGTTTAAAGATTTAATGTCTTTAATGGGGCCTCAAATTCCTGGCACTGGTACTGCATGAAATGGATGTATCTAAATGTGGTGTTGCAATAAAGACAAGTATGTTTCTTCTAGTTGGGAAACATTACACCAAAAAAACATTTATGTTTTATGACAAAATAATACTCTGTAGTGCTACAGGCAATATTTCATCAAAAATATGTCCGTAGCTGACTTTGGAAGGCTCGATATAGGACCTTTAAAGGGGTTTTTCTCTGGGATTATTAAAGTATGTCTGATTCTGATATAAAATTTGCAACCAGTATGTTTGTGTGCTTGATTGACTGTGAAGTTCTTTAATATAAATTCTGTTCATCCATCATCGGAAAATGGAAAACCCAAGGTACAGCTGCAGACCCACGAGGGAATAACTATCCACTGAATCGGAAATATGGGGTAAGGGGAGCATTTATCAAAGAGTCAAGTTCACCTCAGTCACAGCAGTAGCTGCAGTGTTCAACAGCCAGGTGGGAGAGTCTGTCAACAGGACAGCTATTAGTTGTGCTCTCACAGATCTGACCTTTATGGAAGACTGCCACAAAGAAAGTCCCTGCTGAAAGAAAACCATAAAAGGCCTATCTTGCACTTTTCCACTGTGTTGTCAAAGAAGACCAACATATTTAAAACAGGATTCAGACTATCACTATCAGACACTTATCGAAATAACCTAGAACAGAGAAAGACTGAAACATGATTTATTTAGGCCAAAACACTGAAGCTACGTGCTTTTTCTGATTTAATATGTAAGAAACCTTCAAAACCATGAATCAGTTCCCATGCAATTCACAATTATTAATGCATTTGGGTTGTTCTTACACATAAAATCCAAATTAAATACCGTAAAGTTTGTGGTTGCATTGAGACAAAAGAGAACAACTAAAAGTGATTCAATATTAGTATCTGCTACCACTAAATGCTAAGGACTTGACTGCTCTCTGGTATCCATATGCGTCAGTTTCACTCTACATGAAGGGAGTAATCATGGGAAGCTGACAAGTGCAGACAAACATGTTCACAGTCCATCAAAAAGAAAACATTGCACAATCTACAAAGTAAACACTAGCTGACAACTGATGTGAGTGTGAGCTGAAAGTGAATGACAGTGAATGTTTTAATCTGAAAGGAACAGGGGGTGAAAATGATTTTAATCAAGTCAGCTGCTTATTAGAAAACATAAATAAAGGTGCTTTAGGCTATAATGTTACATTAAACACTGTTTTTCACAGAAACATGTAACCAGGATGGGGAAATGGGCATAAAACGCACCAAGCATTTCAAAAGTATGCAACTAATATGATCATAGGGATGTTTTATCCCTTCGGTCTAAAGAAGAAATAGATTGTTATGATCCAGTGACCCTCTAGAACAGTCATGTGGTCTGTATCACGCCACGGTATCAAATATGTTAAACACCATTTTTTGTTGTAGAAAGATGTAAAGCATCAAAGTAAAGATATGCACACAATATTGCAAGGCATGAGGAAAATGTATGCTTTTAGAAATAAACCTGTAAAAAACTGTAATAGAGCCAATTTTAATTCAGTTTATTTATATAGCGCCAGTTCACAACACGTTACATCTCAAGGCACTTTATTATTCAACCAGATCATCCAGTCAAATTGATTCAAAGTTTTCTATCTAAGGAAAACCAGCTGATTGCATCGACTCATTGACTCTTCAGCAATCCCTCACACTAAGCATGCTTGTAGCGACAGTGGAGAGGAAAAACTCCCTTTTAACGGGAAGAAACCTCCAGCAGAACCAGGCTCAGTGTGAGCGGCCATCTGCTGAGGCCGACTGGGGTTCAAGGAGACAGAAGCAGACATAGAAAAAGAAGCATAGATACAAAAGGCAACAGTCCAGGAAACACACAGCCAGGCAGACAAGCTCTGAGCCAGCACTCTTACTTTCTTTATATTTATCTAAAAGCTGTGAAGATTGTGGTTATGTAGTGAAGCGCTTGCCTTCTAAGATGATGGATCAATTCTGTTTCAGACATGTAGGAACTATTCTATTCTATTTTATTTTATACTTCATGAACAAACCCATTTTAGACAACCGAGGTGTTTGGTTGTAGTATATAAAGTTTTACAGGGAAATGTCGCTTTATACTATAAATAAACTCTAAATCAGTGGTCACCAACGTGATGCCCGTGGGCACCAAGGGCCCTCAAGGACCACATGGGGTGCCCTCAGCATCTTATGAAAACAGAACAACTCACCAGTGGACTAAGTTTGCAATGTTATTTTTTGCCTTTGCTGTTACAGTATGTTTTATCATTAATAGAGCATTTCATCATATCAATAATTTAAAACATATAAGCATTTACAGGGACTTCAAAATGACAATATCTAGAAGCAAATTAGAAATGTAAAGAAACGATAGAAATATTTTTATCTATGAAGTTTAGGTGAACGCTGACTCCTCCAGTTCATAGGTCAATATTAGTAGCCCATCCTGTGACTCAATACCCATGAAGTAGCACTTATTCTTAAAAAGGTTGGTGACTTCTGCTCTAAATCATCTGGTTTTATGCGTTTGTTTCAGGACCATGCTAGCCTTCTAAAGCTAATTTGAAGCTTGAACAAGGATTTCTCACTTACCCCAAAGTTTGTGAGCAGTGGTGTGTGTGTATAGGTCAGCATGGTATAGCTGGGGCACAGAGTCTGCATGTATACATCAGCAGTGAGGGCAGGGGCAGCGGGGTAGGCCAGAGTCTGAGCAGTGGAGTCCTGCTGGCTGTAGTCAGATGAGGACCATGGCATCATAACAGACTGCAGCCCAGCGTTGGAGACAGAGGAAGCCGCTTTCCAGCCTGCTCCCTGCAACGCATCATCTGCAGCACCAGTAGACTGCTGAGCTGGAGAAGTACTGGCCACATCTGAGCCAAAAACACCTAGATATCAAAGTTCAGTTTATATTATTTCTGCTTACAGTGTTCTGTTTTTTTGGTTAATGGAGTCCCAGATGGGAGAAGCACGTACCTTGTGTAAATGATGAAAGATTGGTGTGAGCCGCCACATCCTGAAAATGAAATAAACAAAACAAAAGGAAAAAAAGAAACAGTTAACTGGAATTGTCACAACAGCAGAACAGCAGCCATCCATGCTTTGTTGATATGTAAATATGAATGTGCGGTCGAGGCGGGAGCAGCAACTGAGGCGGGATTGGTTCAAATGTTCATGTGCAACTTACACCAAAATGAATGCAACCAGACAGGGCAGATTTACCATTAGGCAAAACTAGGCAGCTGCCTAGGGCCGCTGTATGGTTAATACAGCCATTACTTATTTTCGCACGTTAACTATGTTTTTGATAAAAATCCTTTCGTTAAAATGCCATTAGAACGCCTATAATATTAAACGTGTTTCGGGGGGCCGCCCTGCTCTCCAGAGCGAGTAGATTGGTAACCCCGCCTCCTGCTCTCCTCTATCTTGTTTGCTGTCATGATTCATGCAGCTATTATTTCATCCAAATAAAAAATGGAGAACAGATAAGCAGATCATGGCTTGTCTACAGTGAAAAGAAGGACTGGGTTATTTACTTTGGCCTTTTTGGAAACACAGGAAGGAGCAATCAGCTAAGTGAGCTTAGTGCTTGGAAAAAATCTTTTATTCCTTTAGAGACAGCATGAAAAGTCAGCTGAGTACAAAACATAGAGAGGAAAACAAGAAGAAAAGGGACAAGAAGAGAGGGACACAACCTAGAACACATAATGGATGTCTATTCTATTAACATTTCTCTTTCTGTAGAATGGGGCTGTTTGATGTGTTGTCTAATCAGTTCAGGGGGCCCCATGCCTGTCTCTACCTCGGGCCCCAAATTTCCTAAATCCGCCCCTGGTCAGGATAAGTGTCTGAGCTGTAACATTTCACCCTCAGTCTGTTTACTGGGTAACCTAGACGATGTCACCTTAGGCAGCTATGTCATCTTCACACACAGTCTAAACGTTAACTAGTTCAGATTGATTCTATTATGTTAATCTAGAAATAGCCTCTGCATCATTAATAAATAAATCGTCTATCCTTCCTACACTGCAAAAAAAACAAAATCTAGATGAGTAATTTTTTCTTAAAATAAGTAAATTTTTCTTGGATTGAGGAGGTTAAAGAGACATTTTGCCAATGGAACAAGACATTTTACACTTTAAATAAGAAAACACAACTACATTGTCTTATTTTAACTGCATATTATCTACTTATCTTATTTTAAGAGTAAAAATTCTCATTCCATTGGCAAATTATCTCATTTACCTTCTCAAATTAAGCATAAATACACTTAATTTAAGACATTTTTACTTATTTCTAGATCGTTTTTGCTGTGTAGTAGGGGTTTACGGTAAGTGGTTTGGTCCGGTGTGGTACTGAGGCTGATTTGGAGCACGTCTTTGCCTCTGGGTCCTGATTGTCGGGGGGGGGGGGGGGGGGGGGGGGGGGTGACTTCTGGAGGATGGGTGCATGGTTTTTCAGGGATCTGCGTGGGTGGACACAGGTTACCCGCCTGGCAGTTTTGTCAAGCCACAGTGGATTTGTGTTGGTCCTGGGGCTACCTGAGGTCAATGGGGTGGAATGCCCTGGTGGGGTCCATTATGGGGGTTGGGGGCTTGGTTCTGGACCGATCTGCTGCCTCATTTTATGTTTTTTTTTTGTGCCTAACTTACTCTGGGGTCCATTGGCGCCCCTGCTGACACTGGGGTCCATTGAACTGGTGAGGGAACAGGAAGACGAAAGCCATGTTTAACCTGCAGGCAGGTGGTATGAGTTAATTTTGCAGTCACAGGCATCAGACTGAGAAGTAGACCCTAAATCTACCATCTGAGATTGTGTTTAGATATTCTGTATTGAAAAGGTACACCTTTAAAATACTGAGGAGGAAACACATTTTAACTGCTTAACAGTTAGACAGAGGGGCTCTAACTAATGCTAATATTTTGTGTCTGTGAGAGAAAGACTAAAATAACAGAATAAGCCTTTAAGTGCAGTCTTACCCTCCACTCAAACAAATGTGTTTGTTTTTTTAGCCTTTGCACTGGGCTCCATTGTTGCTGGCGTTCCAATGAGAGCACATTGAAGGATTTCTGTTTGATGGAGCAATAGAGCTTGAGAAAAGGCTTGAACCATTTCTGGAATTAAACATCTTCTCCACCTCCCTGACTGAGCGTCCTCGTCTGTTTAGTGATCACTGTGTCTTTTAACAGGATAGTGCTCCTTGGTCCATTTCACAACCAACTTCTTCCAGTAAAAGGATCTCCCTCTTTAAGCTCATCCCACTTGATCACACAACCTAAAACTCTTTGAGAGTTTAAGTAAGAACGGCAAGTGAAGTTTACCCGGGGGGGCCAAATTCACCACATTGAGTAGAGTTAATAAAACCATAGAGGAAGCCAAAATATATATTTTTTGTGATATTGCTATTGTTGTTTTATTTCTGATTTCTGGTGTTACTTTACTTAGGCTATGTTCACACAGCAGGCTAAAGTGACCCAAATACAATTTTTTTTACCAAATGCGACCTGAATCTGATCTTTTCATGACAGTCTGAACAACTCAGATCCCATTTTTCCAATGCGATCCAGGCTACTTGGCTCTGTGGTTCTGAATCCGATACGAATCTAATCTTTTCAAATACGACCTGTGTCTGAACAGCCAGGTCGCATTCTTCCGACCTGTGTGCCACTGATACCCTACAAAGGTCATTATTCTGCATCTTGTTTCGCAGAAGCAGCAATAAATACAAACAACCATGGTGGACGATGATGTAGAGAGCAGGCTTTATGTTTAACGTTCTTGAAAAGATTGAGTTTTTATGGTTGAGAAAAATCGCTAGATGCGCTCTGGCATTACCATCCATGTTTACCTAAGTAAACACAGAGCAAACTGGCTTGTGATGTCACATACAAGTCGCAGATATTTAGAAATGTGGACGGCAACGCAAAAAAATCGGATTTCTCAAACAAATCGGAATGGTGCATTAAGGCCTGCAGTGTGAACGTAGCCTATCTGTAGGTATCCTTACTGTAGGTGTAGAAGCATCTTTAGGGGGTTATCCTGTATTCTTTTTATCCTTTGTTCACTTTATAACTTTTCTTTGTCCTTCACTGTTGTACCCCAGAATTTCTCCCTTTCTTTCTTCTCTTTCACCCTTTTGTTTTCTGTCTCTGTGTGCATTGCATTTAAAGTAAAGGAGCTTGAGATTTCTTTTTCTTCTTTTCTTTTTTTAGCATAACAAATTTTGTATTTGGCCAAGTACTTTGCATTTCATTTCCTCCAAGGGCCTTCTGTCTTACTTTAGCATGATATGTTTAAATAGATATGTGTGTGTGTGTGTCTGCAGCAGGAACAATAAAAAGTGATTAACCGTTCTCTGAGCCATTCAGCTTGTTTTTATAGTAAATCTCTCAGGATGTTAGACAAACGTTATGTTAAGGTCTACCTTTAAAGCTTGTAAATCTACTCTTTTTACCAGATCTGGAGGAAATCAAGGATTGACAGTAAATTAAAGTAAAACTCTTAACTAAGATCCACTTCAACAACTTCTTAAGGCTTCTAATAGGATTAAGAGATTTACTTGTGTCACAGCTAAGAGATCTTTAGGAACTAGATTTGCTACTTTGGCTCTGGAATCAGAGATGGCAAAAGTACTCACTTTCCGTACTTGAGTAAAAGTACAGATACTTGTGTTAAAAAATACTGTTAAAAGTACTGATTAAACTTCTTTACTCAAGTAAAAGTAACAAAGTACAGGCTTGTAAATTTACTTAAAGTATAAAAGTAAAAGTAGAAACCACTTTTTTCATGCCATTGCCTACATTTTAAATGGATGTCTGCCAAAAGGACTAGATCTCCGTTGTGTTCATTTTCAATCATCTCGTCGTCCATGCTACTATGCTAACGCCGCCGCCACCAAGCTGCAATGATTTGCCGCCAATGAATACCGCCGAATCTGTCGATTCATCTTGTAGTGGTGCGTCAAATGCAACGTAGATTCCCATCCAATTAGATTGAATTTGGTATTGATGACGTGAAAAATAATAACGGTAACTCCATTGAAATGATTCAAAACTAAAGTAACGAGCCAATTTTTTAAAATGTAAGGAGTAGAAAGTACAGATATTTGTGTAAAAATGTAAGGAGTAGAAGTAAAAAGTCGCCATAAAAATAAGTAGTAAAGTAAAGTAAAAATATCAGAAAAATCTACTTGTCTACAGTAACTAAGTATTTGTACTTTGTTACTTCCCATCTCTGTCTGGAATTCTGCTCCATTTTAAAGTGGATAGCTTTCTTTTTGATGCTTTTGCCTTAAACCTATAGTATTTTAGCCTGATAAACCAGATTAAATAGGAGATTAAAGTTGTTATTTAGTCCTGCCAGATGAGACGTCGGAAGGTTGTTGATGAGAACAACGCGTTGTTTTTTAAACCATGTCTGTGCCTATTGGCCAACGGTCTGACCAATGAGAGCAACTGACTGTGACGTAGGAAGCGCGGCAGGAAGCTGGTGGGGGAGTTTAAACAAACAGCCTGTCGGTGAAACGGCGAATACGTCCTTCTCAAAAAGGAATGAGCGTAGAACCCCAAGTCTAATCCTTCCAAAACTGATTCCAAAGCTGAGCCAAAAATCGCCATTAGAGCCAGCAGTCCTTAACACAAGACTCTGCCGAGAGAGGGCGCGCTGCAGACGGGCTGCAGTTAGCCCTGGCTGCTGTAAGCCTCGGAGTTTCGCTGGTTGCAGTGTTTCTCTCAACTTCGGAAATTGTTTTTTTTATTACGCATTAAATCGGTAAATGGACTTTGTCGTCACGACATCAATACCCCACCTGCTTTGCATCCAGACATTCAAAACACATCTCTGCGTTGTTATTGGCCCGCCAGATTTAGGGCCTGGGGCATTGATCGAGGCTAGACCACTCGCACGCAAAAAAGATTTTGGCCGCTAGGCGGTGGGGCTAGTTTACTAGGCTGAGAGTATTTCAACGTACAATACAATTTTTCCACAAAATGTTTTGTATTCTCTGTTTATACTAAG